GGGAGACAGCTCGGGGCAGGAGAGTATGGAGGGATGGACACTGGGAAGAGGTAACTATGGGGAGGAAGTGGGAGGGGAGCTGTTGCATTGTGGTAAAGTGTGGTCAATGACATGAGACAAAGTATGTGTGAACTGCTGTATGGAAAGCGAATTTGCTCTGTAAATCTTCACCCAAATCACAATAAATTAAAAAAAGAAAAGAAAAGAACATCATCCATGAAAAAGGCAAGAGGTCACTTAAAAGACGAGAAAAGAAAAAAAAGACCAAAATGGATGTCAGAAGAGACTCTGAAACTTGCCTTTGAATGGACAGTAGCTAAAGCAAATGGAAGAAATGACAAGGTAAAAGAGCTAAACAGAAGATCTCAAAGAGCAGCTCGAGAAGACAAAGCCAGTTACTATAATTAAATGTGCAAACACTTGGAGTTAGAAAACCAAAAGGGAAGAACACGCTCAGCATTTCTTAAGTTGAAAGAACGGGAAAAAATGTAAGCCTTGAGTTGCAATATTGAAAGATTCTATGGGCAAAATATTGAATAATGCAGGAAACATCAAAAAAAGATGGAAATAAAACACAGTCACTGTACCAAAAAGAACTGGTGGATCTTCATCCATTTCAGGAGGTGCCATATGATCAAGAACCAGTGGTACTGAAGGAAGAAGTCGAAGCTGCAGTGAAGGAATCGGCAAAGAACAAGGTTCCAGGGATTGAGATGTTTCAACAAACAGATGCCCCTCTGGAGGCACTCTCTCAATTATGCCAAGAGATTTGGAAGACAGCTACCTGGCCAACTGCCTGGGAGAGATCCAAATTTGTATGCATTCCAAAGAAAGGCGATCCCACAGAATGTGGAAATTATCGAACAATATCATTGATATCGCATGCAAGTAAGATCTTACTGAAGATATTTAAAAAACAGTTGCAGCAGTATATTGACAGAGAACTTGCAGAGGTGCAAGCTGGATTCAGAAGAGGACGTGGAACAAGGATATCATAGCTGCTCTCTGATGGATCTTGGCTCAAAGCAGAGAATACCAGAATGATGTTTACTTTGTGTTTTATTGACTATGCAGAGGCATTTGATTGTGTAGATCGTAGCAAATTGTGGATGATATTGAGAAGAATGGGAATTCCAGAACACTTGATTGTGCTCATGAGGAACCTGTACATTGACCAGGAGGCTATTGTTCAAACAGAAGAAGGGGACACTGCGTAGTTTAAAATCAAGAGGGGAGTGTGTCAGGGTTGTATCCTTTTCCCATACTTATTCAATCTATATGCTGAGCAAGTAAGCCGAGAAACTGGACTGTATGAAGAACATGGCATTCAAGATCGGAGGAAGAATCATTAACAACCTGTGATACGCTGATGACACAACTTTCCTTGCTGAAAGTGAGGATGACTTGCGGCACTTACTGATGAAGACTGAAGAATACAGCCTGCAGTATGGATTACATCTCAACATAAAATAAAAATCCTCACAACTGGACCAATAAGCATCATCACGATAAATGGAGAAAAGATTGAAGTTGTCAAAGACTTCACATTGCTTGGCTCTACAATCGATGCCAATGGAAGCAGCAGTCAGGATGTTAGATGACATATAGCACTGGGCAAGTTGGCTGCAAGGGAACTCTTTCAAGTGCTGAGGAGCAAGGATGTCTCCTTGAGGAGTGAGGTGCGCCTGGTGCAAGCCATGAAATTTTCAGTCTGCTCATATGCATGTGAGAGCTGAACAATGAATAAGGAAGACCCAAGAAGAATTGATGCTTTCGAGTTGTGGTGCTGGTGAAGAATGGCTGAAAGTACCATGGACTGCTAAAACAACTAACAGGTCTGTCTTGGAGGATGTGCAGCCAGAATGCTCCTTGAAAGTGAGAATGGCCAGACTTCGTCTCATCTACTTTGGTCATGTTTTCAGAAAGGACCGTTCCCTGGAGAAAGATGTCATGCTTGGTAAGGTGGAGGGTCGACGAAAAAGGGGAAAACCCTCAGCGAGATGGATTGAGACAGTGGCTGCTACGATGGGCTCAAGGATAGCAAGGATCGTAGAGCTGGTGCGGGATCGGGCGGTGTTTCGTTCTGCTGTGCATGGGGTCGCTATGAGTCAGACACTACTTGACGGCACTTAACAGCAACAACACAAGCCATCTGTTTTGCAAAACATCCTTCAGTTTGAATATTTTTGCTATTTTTTCATGATTTGACTCAAATTACACGTTTTTGGTAGGACTACTACAAAATATGAGGTGTGTTTTTTTTGTGATGTTACCTTTGATCAGTTGGTTGAGATAACTGCCAGCTTGTCCACTGTAAAGTTACTATTTTTTTAATTTGTTATTAATAACAGCTTGTGAAGTAATACTGGTCAAACTCTGTAAATGTCCTTTTTTTTTCCCATCAAGCTGTACCCACTTGTTTTAACATCCTCTGTTGATTGTTGCCTGCCAAATCATTTATTACTATTCTAATTGCTAAATCATGATTTTCAAATTCCTTATTTTCCTCTGTACTTATTACCTTTAATAAGGATGAGCTTTCCCTTTTATCTACTACCTGTCAATAAATCATCAATATGGATACATTAAGTATATAGATTATAATTTATTGCCAGTGATTTATTTTGTCAGATCATCCCATATTTGGCCAGTGGTAACCAACATACCCTTTTCTTGATGACTGGGAGCTGCCATGAAGAGTGTGATTTTTTTCATTGGTTCTAGAATGGGAGGCGAAGTTTTTGTGGTGCAGTGATTAAGTGTTGGGCTGCTAATCAAAAGGTCAGTGGTTAAACCCATTAGCAGTTCTGCAGGTAGCCTTGACAGACATGAAAATCAACATATCCTGACAGTCTGTTCCCATAAACACTGTAGCTTGGGAAACCCTATGTCCTATAGGGTGGCTGAGAGTCAGAATGGACTCCAAGCCACACAACCACCACCAGATAGGAAAAAGGACAAATTAGATTGTTGATGTGTAAATGAGGGGGAATTCTGGTGGTGTAGTGCCTAAGGCATTTGACTGCTAACCAGCAGGCTGGCCAACTGGACAGCCACTCCTTGGAAGGAAGAATGGGCAATCTACTTCCCTAGAGATACCGCCTCGGAAACCCAAGGAGGGGTCGCTGTGAGTCAGATTGGACTCCATGACAGTGAGTTTGGTTTGACGTGAATGAGGATCTCTTCTGCACTCAGTTGGGTTAGCCACCTTTGTTTTGTATTACTTGGGGATTTATTTAAATAGTTGGTTTATCTTTCCCTGTGGTCAATTACTGCTTTCTTTAGAAAATATCTTACCTGGGTTAAAATAGAAACAAGTGTAAGGCAAAATATGTTTTATTGCTCTTGAATCATTTCCTTGTGATAGTATCTTAACAACTTTTCTTACTGTAAGATTATGTTTGTATTATGAATTACTGTACCTGAACACATTGGAATTGCAAAAAATGTTATGATTACCTCAGTTATGTTTAAACTTATTTTCAAAACTGTGTTCTTTTTGCTGTTTTGTTCTACTCCAAACTGAACACACTTGATATTATTTAGATACTAAGTTTTATTTATCTTTTTGGATAAAAAGTCTAGAAATAAGTTATAACGCAGAATTTTACCTTGGGTAGGAGCAGTTACGAAACCATGAACTCTCTGTTGATGAAGACTTTTGTGGCCATTATTTCAAGAATATTGATTGTTGGACAACAAAACATGAAAACTTAGATTGCAACAGTGATTTACAGGTGTTTCCCTCATTGACTGTGAGTATCTGCTTTGCTTTATTAAAAAAGAGTTTATTTTATTCCCAGTGAATACACTGTTGTTGTTGTTGTTGTTATGTGCCGTCGAGTCAGCCCTGACTCATAGCGACCCCTCCTTGGGTTTCCGAGGCAGTATCACTACGGAAGTAGGATTGCCCAACCTTCCTTCCGAGGAGTGGCTGGTGGGTTTGAACCGCCAGCCTTCTGGTGAGCAGGCAAGTGTCTTAGCCACTATGCTACCAGAGCTCCCAGTGAATACATATCAAGTTAAATTCTATTTTCTTGGTATTTTTTTAAAGACTAGTGCTTATTTTTTCAATTTGTAGATTAATTTAGTTTTTTTGTGTGTGTATAATAGTACATAATAAGTAAGATATTGCCACCATTGTTCTATTTCTCTGTACCCCTTTCAGAATCCTTCAAAGAGTCTTTTATGCTCTATCTCTAATTCATCTCTCATTCTTTATTCTGTCCACTCCAATCAGTCTTTTGTTCCCACCATTCCAACACAACAGTTCTAGTCAAGATCTCCAGTGACCTTCACATTGTTAAATCCAGTAGTTTGTTGTCAGTCTTCACCTTCTTGACTTACCAGCATTTAATACGCTTGAACAGCCCTTTTTCCTTAATGCACTTCATCCACTTGGCTTTCAGAATACTGTTTTCTGGTTTTCCCATACCCTTTCTGGGTGTTCCTTCTTCATCTCTCTTGTTGGGGTTCCTCTTCTCCATATATTGGGAGGCTTCAATGCTCAGTTCTTGGTCTTCTTTTCTATTTATACTTCTTCCCTTGCTCATCTTATCCTGTCACATTGTTTTAAATGCTATCTGTATCCTGTTGACTTCTAAATTTATATCTTTAGCCTCAACTAATTTATCCAAGTATCTATAGTTGGATGACTTAACAGATAATCTGAAAGTCAGCGTGTCCAGAGTAGAATTCCTGATCTTCTCCTATAAACCTGCTTCATGTAGAGCCTTTCACATTTTAATCGATGGTAATTCTCTTCTTATTGTTGCTCAAGCCAAAAACTTCTTTCTTGATACCATTCTTTTTCTCACACACAATTCTGTAGAAAATTCTTTTGAATCTGTAATAAAAATAAATCCAGAATTTGAATGGATCTCACTGCGTCTGCCTTGGTCTTAGTCACCATTATCTTCTTGCCTTAATTATTTCAGTAGCCTTCTAACTGGTCTTCCTTTTTCTGGTCTTGTACCTCTATAGACAAAGCATCAGAGATTCTATTAGAATGTAGATTAGGTAATTTTATTTCTCTGCTCAAACCTTGCCATGGCTCCCTGTTTTCCTCAGATCTAAGCTGAAATCCCTGTAATGGCCTATAATGTCTTACATGACTGGACCTTCCCTTACTTCACTGGCCTTTTCTCCTTCTAGTCTTTGTCTTACTCTATTCCAATCTCACTGACCTCTTTTCTTCTCCTCAGACATTCCAGGCACACTCTTGTCTTTGCACTGGCTGTTCCTACCACCTGGAATGCTCTTCCCCTAGATATTTGCTAAGTAACTCCTCCATCAAGTCTTTTACTCAAATCCTGTTTTCTCAATAAGGCCTATCATGACCATAAACTCTGTATTGTTGGTTCATCTGTTTATTTCTATTACAGTATTGACTATTTTAATTATTGTAATTTTATAATATGTTTTGATATCCAAAGGTCAAGTACCCTCAGTATTCTTATTTAGCCATTTTTGATCATTCGTCTCATTTGCTTTTCTAAATGAACATTAATGTTGATATTTTTATTATGTTAAAAAAAAATCCTTTGGGATTCTGATAGGAGTTGGGTTCAATTTATGTTGTGCTTTGGAGAGGGTCAATATCTTTATAATATCTTTATAATCCTTATAATATCAGGAAAATAATACAACTCTCCATTTATTTAATTTTGTCTTTCAGTAAAATTTTATACTTGTCTTTGTGCATGTTTTATATATTTTTGTTAGCGTCATACTTCTTGCCTGATGTATTCAATTAAATACCCCTATTCAAAAAAATAACTAAACTTCAGTACTAAAGATTTAAGTATAAACATTTATCTGTAGTCTTTTTAATAATATCAAATAATTAATCACAGTTTAAAAGTACACCTTTAGTAGAATGACACTGTTAGAACTCCGTCAGCACTCAACGACCACGCCACACACCAGGGTACCCAACAGGAGATTTTATTAAAGAGGCGAAAGGGCGCCTGCACTGAGGAAGGACAGACGAAGAAGAGGAGGAAGAAGAGGAGAAAAGAGAAGAAGAAAGAAAGAGGAAGAAGAGAGAGGAAGAAGAGGAAGAGAAGAGGAAGAGAGGGAAGCAGGGGAGAGGGTGGTCTTATATAGACCTGGGGTTAGGAGGTTGTATGTCCGAGCTGGGGGAAGGAGTCTTAACCTATCAGAAGCTATGTTGCCTTTTAAAATTTGCACCTTGCAGGAAGCTCAGTTTCGACTTCCTTTAACTGACTTATGACCTTGGGCGGGGCAGCAGGGAATGAAGAAGAACCCGGAAGAGCCACGCAAGATGGCGTGGCATATCTCTAACAAACTCAGTCATGGTTTATCCATAGGATGAAATACTCTGGTTATTAAAAGTTAACGTAGGAGACTTGTAAAGAGCTAAAGGATTCTTGTGATGCTTTTTTAATGGGAAAATACTTATAAAATAGGCTTTACTTTTCAATTACAGTTAGAAAAGAGCGTGGATGGTTATATTCTAAAATGCTAACAGCAGTCATCCCTGAGTATGAGGTTATGGGTCATTTTAATTTATTTTTGTTCTTCTGTGAATTCTGAAATGAAAATAGGTCTTAAGTAAAAAGTTTAAATGAGTTCTTTACAAAATTTGTGTTGAAGTGTGATAAACATACAGAAAAGAGCTCATATCATAAGTGTACAGCTTGATAAATTTTCAGAAAGTCAACATGCCTGTGTAAACACCACCCAGGTCAAGAAAACATGTTTGTACCCTAGAGATGCTCCCCTCATACTTCCTTTTCCTCCGTAACACCCTCTCTACCAACAGTAACCACTGTTTTGATTAAAGAAGTCATTTTTAAAAAGCAGGATTTTGTTACTCATATTTAGGGTATAGTAAGATTTGTTCTCTCATGTTCAGCTTTCAAATCTTTCTTTCCTTAACACATTTTTTCCCCTTAATTGTTAATTTTTCCGCATACAAGTGTAACAGTGTGAAATGAAATTGTATTATTCCTTTCTTGCCAGAATAAAGAACTAATACCAAATACCAGAAATGTTTCAAACCAAGGAGGATCAATGGTAAGTCATTTTATTTGTCTTTAAATCAAAGATACAAATTACAGTAGGATTTTTAAAAGTCTGTTGATAGCCAGATATTTGTAAAGTGACATAATATAGAGTTAATACAGAGTTGGGAAAGAAAAAGAGAATATTATTTAAAATAGTTCAGGCATTCTTCATAGATATTTTGGGTTTGGTTTTAGACTACTGCAGTAAAGCAAATATTTCAATAAAGCAAGTCACATGAGTATTTTGTTTCCCAGCTTATATAAAACTATGTTTATACTATACTGGAGTCTATTCAGTGTGTAATAGCATTATGAAAAAATTGTAATATTGTGAAAATGCCCAAAGTATGACAGACACGAAGTGAGCACATACTGTTAGAAAAATGGCACCAATAGTCTTGCTCGGCACAGAGTTGCCAAAAACCTTCAATTTGTAAAAAATACAGTCTCTACAAAGCATAATAAGATGAAGTATGCCTTTATGTTTTCTTACATATGTGTATGAGTTTTGTATATACTGTTGCTGTCTTTGTTTTTGTAATTTAAGATTAAGAATGTTTTTTTTTTTTCCCTTTTCTTTGAAAAATAAAATTACATTTCCATATGTCCACAAGGGGGTGGCAAAAATTTGGCATTTAGGAAAGAGTAGAAGTCAGAAGATTGAGTAAGCGGTGAGAGGGTCAGCAGGAGTTGTGTGTAAGGACTGAAAGCAGGTTTAGGAGGACCTAGTGTTTGTATGTACACTATGGTTCCTGTTTCCTGTTTTCTTCAGTCAACTTTGAGGGAACTCTGATAGTGGAAGGGCATTCACCCATCAGTAGCCAGGACAAACTCTGCATTTATATAGAGTCTGTTGTAGGTAGTGAAGTTAAGAAACAAAAGGAGAGGCAGGAAATGTTTCAGAAGAAGGAATATAAAACGTTTTGGCCTAGTTCTGTGGAGGAGTTGGAGTGTTTGTAGTGTCTGCCAGCCAGCCAATACCAAACAGCATGTCACAATCCAGTTTTATTCCTCAGTGGGGCCCTACAGTACCTTCAGGGATTTGAATCATCTAGCCTATATAAAATTTACAGCCTGTAATGGGGTCGCTGTGAGTAGGAAATGATTCAATGGCAGTGAGTTTGTTTTTTTTGGTTTAGCGTATACACTTAATCTGAGTCATTTCTGACAATATTATCTGCCTTCCTCCTCCCCTAACTCAATTTAAAAGTAATACATTTAATTAAAACTGGATGCTTGATAATATTAGGATAAAATTTTGAGAAGGGTGGCATTAGAAAGAATATTCAAATGATAATAGATAAAACATAGAAAGGTACTACTAAGGTGAAGAGAGGACTTGTAGAAATGTAAAAGAAAAACATTGAAATGTGAAAAAAAACTTTTTCTTCCTTTTTCATCCTCTTGAACGAGTTCTGCTGATGCAGTGGTTAAAGCGTTTGGCTGCTAACCAAAAGGTCAGCAGTTTGAACCCACCAGCTGCACGGCAGGAGAAAGGTGATGAGGCAGTCTGCTTTTGTAAAGATTCACAGCCTTGGAAACCTCATGGGGGCATTCTACTTTTTCTGTAGACTTGCTATAAGTGGAATCGGCTCAGTAGCTACAGGTTTGGTAGTGGGTTTTACCATCATTTGGGAGGATGGCGGTAAAAAAAAAAAAAAAAAAAAGTGGGTAAAATACCTGCCCTTCCATGCTTGCTGCTCCTTTTCTCTCTCTCGTGGGGTTTTTTTTTTTTTTAATAATCTCAATTCAATCTCTAAAACTTGTTTTAAAATATGACAAACAATTGTTTATTTTATCTTATATGGCAATTTTAAAAAATAACATTAAGGGTATTTATTTTCCTGTTTCAGGATGTTGTTGCCCGAACACAGAGGGATGGGTTTCATATCTTTATTGTTTCTATTAAAACGGAAAAAACAGATGCAAACTGGAATTTGAATGGTATAGTTAAACTGCATGCATGTTTATTGTTTCCATTTACTATATTTTGTATTTTGTTGTTGGCCTGGATCTACATACTGTGTTAAAAACACATCATGCAAAAATGAGTTTTGGTTAATTGAACTTTTATTTTTGGGACTTAAAACTTTATTTTTGTCTTAATTCCAACATTTATTTTAAAAAATGTGTTGAAAATTTCATTCTGACAATTAGAAAATTTTAAAAACTCATACTTCATAGTGGGCTGTAACATTCTCTATCCTTGTAGATTTTAAATAGTTTTTTAACATGTAGAAATGAGTAAGCAGCATCTTAATTGTATTTGAAATAGATTATATTGTTTATTTTATGAAAATGGCCATCATCAGGAGTTTAAAATATTTGTTCTTTGAAAAGTATTTCAAAGGGTCTGTCTGCAGCCTAGGAGTAGAAGTAGTATGTCTGCCAACTGTGGTGCCTGTGGTCTCCTCACCCTCACCCCACATGAGACTGAACCCTCTGTGTGTATCTAATTACAAAAAGTTCCCTAGTGCCTGTGGTAGTTAAATTTGTATGTCAACTTGGCTGGGCCTGGTTGAGTGGCTGGGCAGCTGGTGGTAGTTATTCTCCATGATGAGACTGGCAATCAGCTCCATGGTGGGATCTTCCACAAGCAGCTGAGTAGCTGCCTTTGGGATGTGGTCTGCTTTCTGTATATAAGGAGAAGCCTTGGGGATTGTCTCTAGCTTGTGGCATGCCTGAACCTTGCATGTAGCCGTGTGATTGTTCATTGGCCTGCCTTGTGGTTCGGTAACATCAGGACTGTGCCATTTCATTTGCCGACCTTGGGCTTGTTAGCCTCAGCACCCAGTAGCTGCCTGAGTGAAGAGATGCCTCTGGCTTCAGTGGGCAGGGAACAAGAGGCAGAGCTGAAGCCCAAGGTCTAGGGGCTTTCACACAGCCCCTAGAGCCTGGTACTTTGAACTCGAACTTCTAGCCTCCTGAATTGTAAGAGAATAAACTCCTATTTTGTTAAGAGCATCCCATTTATGGTTTATATTCCTGTTGAAATGGCACTTCATAACCAGAACAGTGCCTAATGCAAGAATGAGCTCCCAGTAAGCAGTTTGCAAGGGAATGAATGCTTTCATGAATCCTACAGTTGCTTTGTTGAGGCATTTTTTTTTTTTTAATTGTATTCATTTGGGGAGACTCCCTGGCTTTCAGAGTTGGGTTGGCTGTAATCTTTATAGAAGCTGCTCACCAGGTGTGGGTCTTACACACTGCTGCCGAGTGGGTTTGAACAGGCAACCTTTGGGTTACTAGCTTAGTGCAGACCATCTGTACCACCCAGGGACCATACCCTACAACTGCTTTGGCTAATGTTTTCTGGAGTGGGTGTCTGCTGGGTAGCCAATACCAAACAGTGTGTGACAATCCTGGAGATTTGTATATTGCTCTGATTTATCCACTGGAAACGGAGGTAAAGCCAGGCTTTGCTTTTGAGAAGTGTCAAGTCTGAAGAGGCTGGGAAACGTGAGGCTAGACAGGCATTGCTGCAGAGATGGCACAGAGCTGGTATACCACGGGCCTGGGCAGGGGAGCTGGTAAGGTAGCTACTCTGGAAGATTGTGTACATAGGGTTTCCTCTAAGAGATGGCATCTGAAATTGGGAGGGGCTGGCATGGGTCAGGTCATGCCAAATAGAAGTAGTGACCTAGGGATCACCCTTTACCTAGCCTGCACTTCCTTCCCAGACAAGCTACTTTTTTCCCCTGACACCAGCAGGCAGTTTTAAGCCCTTGCTTGGCAAAGTAGAGGGTCAGAGAAAGAGAAGACAACTCTCAACAAGATAGAGCGACACAGTGGCTTCAATGATAGGCTCAAGCATAGCAGCAATTGTAAAGCTGCTGCAGGACTGGGCAGTGTTTCGTTCTGTTGTATGTTGGGTCGCTGTGGGTCAGAACCAACTCAGTGGCACCTAACAAGAGCAGTAACTGGAGTACTTGCTGAGCCCTGCATGTCTTGCATTGTATTTGGCACTTAGTGTTCATTATTGCTATCGTGTACAGCAACCCAGCCTGTGTGCTTGAGCAGTAATTTATCCCAAGTTATATTAACAAAATCATTAATATCACACAGGCAAGTAAAATTTTGCTGAAGATAATTGGAAAAAAAAAAAAAAAAGGTTACAGCAGTACGTTGACAGGGAATTGCCAGAAATTCAAGCTGGATTCAGAAGAGGGCATGGAATGAGGGATAACATTGCTTATATAAGATGGATCTTGGCTGAAAGCAGATAATACCAGAAAGATATTTACTTGTATTTTATTGACTATGCAAAGGCATTTGACTGTGTGGGTTGTAACAGATTATGGAGAACATTGTGAAGAATGAGGATTCCAGAACACTTAGTTGTGCTCATGAGGAACCTGTACCCAGACCAAGAATCAAACAGAACAAGGGGATACTACATGATTTAAAAGTAAGAAAGATGTACATCATGGTTGCATTGTTTCACCACACTTACTCAGTCTGTATGCTGAGCAATTAGTCTGAGAAGCTGGACTATATATATGAAGAAGAAGGTGGCATCACAATTGGAGGAAGACCCATTAACAATCTGTCATATGCAGATGACACAACCTTGCTTGCTGAAAGTGAAGAGAACTTGAAGCATTTACTGATGAAGATTAAAGAATACAACCTTCAGTATGGATCATAACTCAACTTACGGAAAAGTCCTCACAACTGGACCAGTAAGCAACATCATGATAAATGGAGAAAAGATTGAAGTTTTTAGGGATTTCATTTCATTTGGATCCACAGTCAATGCCCATGGAAGCAGCAGTCAAGGACTCAAAAGAGCAAGGAAACAGTTAGTCCAAAGGACTAATGGACCACGTGAACCCCAGCCTTTATGACCCTAAAAGCTGAAGAATTAGATGGTGTCTGGCTACCACTGCTTATTGCTCTGATAGGAATCACAGTAAGAGGTCCTGGATAGAGTGGGGGAAAATGTGGAACAAAACTCAAAATCATCAAAAAGGCCAGGCTTACTAGTCTGATGAAGACTGGTAGAACCTCCGAACTTATGGCCTTTAGGCACCATTTAAGCTAGGAACAGAACTGAACCCCTATGACAAAACTTTCAGCCAAATGATAGACCTATAAGGTGAACAGTAATACCAGAGGGCTTGTGCTCATTAGAACAATCAAGCATATGAGATCAAAAGGACAGCATTTGCCCAGTGATAGAGCTAGGAAACGGGTAAGGGATGGGAAGGAAAGATGAAGAAGAATGGATGGGTACAAGGAGGAAGTGAGAAGAATGCTGGTACAGTGTGGGGACTGTGAATGTCACAAAACAGAATGTGAATGGATTTGCTGTGTAAACTTTCATGTAAATTACAGTTAAAAAGAAATCAGAGGACATAATGCATTGGGCACATTTGTTGCACTAGACCTCTTTAAAGTGTTTAAGAACAAAGATGTCATTTTGAAGACTTAAGGTGCACCTGGCCCAAGCATGGTACTTTCAGTAACCTCATATATATGTGAGAGCTGGACAATGCATAAGGAAGACCACAGAAAAATTGATGCATTTGAGTTCCATTGGCAAAGAGTATTGAATGTACCATAGACTGCTAGAAGGATGAACAAATCTGTCTTGGAGGAAGTACAGCCCCAGTGTGCCTTAGAAATGAGAATGGTGAGACTTTGTCATGTCAGAAGGGACCAATCTCTGGAGAGGAATATCATGCTAGGTAAAGTGAGGGTCAGTAGAAAAATGAGAAGACCTTCAACGAAATGGGTTGACACCGTGGCTGCAAAGATGGGTTCAAGCATGGCAGTGATTGTGAAGATGGCAGTGTTTTGTCCTGCTGTACACAGGGTTGCTGTGAGTTGAAAGTGACTCAACAGCACCTAACAACAACAATGATTAAGGAAGATAAAGTCCTCATTGAGATCCCTGAATCATCAAGGGAGACAGTCTAAAGCCTAGTTTGGTATCCAGTACTGCTCCTCTTTTCATATGTGATCAGGTTTTTGATACAGGTTTTTATAATAGCATGTACACAAATGAAGGTATTTTGATAAGATTATGTGATCAAATAATTAGTAATGATTTAATGTCTTGTTTGTGCTAGGTAAAAATTCTGTATTTTGTTAGCTTGGCTTATGTTTATAGAGCTTTCTCTAAATGTACTTACATTTAGAAACTGTACTGATTGTTAATTAATCTTGGCATTTCATTTCATCCCCACTTTCCCTTCCCTAGTTTCTCTTTCTATGATGGGCCCTCATGGATATATCTCTGCATCAGATTGGCCTCTAATGATTGTGAGTATTTTCTGTTACTTTTTTTTTTAATATATAGTTTGCATCCTAACTGGAAAATTCTTAAATTTTAAGATCTCCATGGTGATAATCCTTTAGTAGCTAATGCTTTGACATACCCTCTATTCCTGGTTTCAGAGTGGAAAATGAACTCTTAGATAGTTGAATGTAGAAATGTCTCCTTTTAAATGATCAAGAGCCTTAACTGACTAAAATTCCTTCTCTTCCTACAGTTTTACATGGTGATGTGTATTATTTATATTTTATATGGTGTACTCTGGCTGATGTGGTCTGCTTGTTACTGGAAAGATATCCTAAGAATCCAATTCTGGATTGCAGCTGTTATTTTCCTGGGAATGCTTGAAAAAGCAGTTTTCTATTCTGAGTACCAAAACATCAATAGCACTGGACTGTCAAGTAAGTAATAACTGTATAAGTACAGTATGATCCAAGAGGCTTCTAGCATTTGTGAGCAGAGGTATGGGAGTAATGATTTTGGAGCAACCATATTGCAGATGAAGAGGAGGGAAGCCAAAAAGAGAATGTCAGAATAGGACTCTGATCTGGGCTAACAAGAAGACATATCTTCATTTTCTACTTTCCTTCTCGCTGTCAGTCACCCTCCTGGGGAGAGGAAATTCCCATTCACTAAGGTTCAGCCTTCCAGTGATTAGATTAAAACAATACACAGTTCTAGAAAGGAGAATGTAGGTACTGGCAACCCTTTTAATGTTCCATTCCCCCCTCCCCCGCCCCATGAGCTTTCTTCTTCCTTCCCTTCAAAAAAGAACATGAAAGAAATGTAGCCACAGGGGGTACAATCAGTGCACCAAGTTTGGATGCTTTCTTGCATATTCTCTAGCCTTTCATTCTTCCAAACAGCTACTTAAGACCACTATTCCAGTTTACACAGTGAAATGTGTGAAGCAGGGAAGGGATATAATTGAGCATCCTCAGACGCATGCCCTAGATTTCTAAAAGGAGATTTCCAAAGGAGAGGGAAGTAAAGATAATCTCACTGCTAAAACTTTGGAAGGTAAAATAGCCCAAAAGCATTGAATGATCTCAAGAATGTGCTTCTGAGTGATCAGTTACAAATGATCTTGGTATAGATTTTCAAAGGGCATGGTCATATCTGCTGTTTGCTTTAAAGCATAGCAAAAAGACAAAGTGCACTGGACTGTAGATGAAACAAGATTAGCATAATGTTGATAATTATTGAAGCTAGGTGATAGGTACATGGGAGCTCATTATACTGCTTTCTCTAGGTGGGGAGTGTTTGAGATTTTCCAAAATAAAAGTTTAAAAACATAAAAGAATAAAGAAAGGACTGACAACCAAGGATGTAAATGAGAGGTATTGTTACTGTATAAGAAGTTTTTGTGGATTTTTAGTGCTCTAATAAACCAAATAATGAAGGAAGGGTTGGTCTGCTGCTTATGGCTGAGGATTACAGTAAGCATGAATGGTGGAGAAGATAGTTCAGCTCCTTTTCTGTTAGTGGTGTGAGCTTGAGGAAGAGAAGCAAAAGCCTGAGATTAGTGAATTGAGGAGAGTCAATTAGTCATCCTCAGGGAATTCAAGGCGTTTGTTTGAGATGGCACCAAAAGGGCTTGCAAGAGAAACCTTGGGCACCATCAACGTCTTTGAGGAGTCCTGTTGAATGAGAGAGGTGTCAGAAGACTAAACATAGGCTAATGTCATTTCAGATTTTCCCAAATGGGAATTTTGTGTCATAGGCTGTCTTGCTTAGCACTGATCATCTTCAAGGCATTTGACAAAATTTCTTGTGGACAGATGGAGAAATATGAGCTGAAAACTAGTTGTGCAATCATCAAAGGGTACATTTAGATAATCACTTGTTAGTCTTGTCATTGAAGTCCCCGAGTGCGCAAACATATGATGGGGACTTGGGGAGGTGGGCATCTGACCTCTTATAACTTCACAAGGTGGAAGGATAATCAAGATTAACAGTCCAAGGTTGATTCCTGTGGGGTGGAGGTCAGCCATATCTCCTCTCTCCCACCTTTTATCAATTCCGACACCACTGTCTCTCCCTTAGCACTCTGTTTCTCTGCTAGGTTCAATAATTAGTTGCAATGGCCACATAGAACTCAGACAAAACTCATGATTATGAAGTTTATTAGGGAAGTAACAGGTTACAATTCAGGATCTAGGACAAATCAGGCCACAGTTCTTTAGTCAGGACTGCTTCTTAGTTGTGCCTATAAGCAGACCTCTCTGGCCTCTGGGCCCTTCAGCCTAGCCTCTGCCTGCTTGAGCTAGTGTTACAAAGCTCTTTAGCACCACCAATAAATGCCCAGAGGCACTGCACTACACCAGTCAGCCTTGGCCAGAAGGCACTCAGTCCTCTTCCACCAGAGTCCACAAGCCTAGCTCCACCTACAAGTGCTTGGAGGTATCCCACTCTGCCAGGAAGCCTCCTGCCTGAAAGCTCTTAGCTTTCTCACTCCATTGGACTGCTGCCTCTGCTGCCATCATTTCTTTACTGCTGCGGCTTAACGTCATCTAGTGTTATAGCTTTCTGTCTCTGAGTCTAGAAGGTTCTCAGTGCAGGGATCCGGGGTCCAGAAGATGTGCTCTACTCCCTGCTCATCTTTTTTTGGTTCCTCTGTGCTTGTTTCTCTCTCCTTTTATCTCTTATAAAATAAAAGGTGTCGCTCAAGGGTGGTGACTTGAGTGCATCCCATCCTAATCCTGCCTCATTAATTTAACAAACATGAAATAATCCTCATTAACATAATCTAATCCTGCCTCATTAACACTTAGAGGTCAGGATTTATAATGCATCCAGTGGAGAACAGTTACATCAAATTAAAAAATGGAGGGCAGCCACACAATACTGGGAGTCATGACATAGCCAAGTTGACACATAACCCTCCTACCCAGTCTTTGTATGGGAGTCTTAATGACTTTGGCTAGAAGGGCCATATTATGTAATTCACTGCAGTGACTTTCCTAAAGGTTGGTGGTTCAAACCCACTCAGTGGCACTTAAAGTAAAGCCTGGTGATTTGCTTCCATAAAGATTATAGCCAAGAACTGTGGAACAGTTCTGCTCAGTAACACATGGGATGGTGGGTTTGGCTTTGGTTTAGTCTTGTATTCTAAAGCTGTGCTGTCTAGTATGATAGCCCAGACAGTGGCTGGCTATTTAAATTAAATAAAATATAAAAATTCAGTCATACCAGCCATCTTTCAAGTGCTCAGTAGCCACACATGGTTACTAGTGTTTACTGTGTTTATTTGATAACATAGATCTAGAATATTTTATCATCACAGAAAGTTCTGCTGGGCATCATTGATCTAGAGCAGTGACCTTAGAGGACACAGTAGCACTGCCCCTTAGAGCAGTGGTTTTCATCCCTGACATTAGTATCACTTGAAGAGCTTTTAAGACTATACCATTGCCAGATTCTGGTTGGAATAGGCCTAGAACTTGTAAAAACTTCCCAGGTGATTGTAAGGTGCATCTAGTGTTGAGAACCATTGGAGTAGAAGAAGTTTTAAATGGTGTCTGTTTCATAGGTTTTAGACTTTGTTGATTTTTTTATTCTTGTTGGTTGGTCAGTTAGCATTTATTGTGCATGTATGTATGTTTGTAAGTAGAGCATTCTGTTCAGTTTTGTGGATAATGTGAGACTGGCAGGAGTTACAAATACTCAGGGTCATAAAGAATCATTTTAGATAAACTCTTCTTACCTAATAAGATATGATGGGATGCAAAGAGATTTGACATCTTGAATGCTGTTGCCATTGAGTTGGTTCCAACTCATAGTGACCCTATAGGACACAGTAGCACTGCGCCAGAGGGCTTTCAAGGCTGTAATCTTTAGGGAAGCAGACTGCCTCATCTTTCTTCCATGTGGCCTGTTTTGGTTTCTTCATGCTGCTCTAACAGAAAATACCACAAATGGGTGGCTTGAACAAACAAGAGTTTATTCTCTTACAATTTTGGAGGCTAGAAGTCAAGTTTGAGTTCAAAGTGCCAAGCTCTAGGGGCTGAGTGAAAGCCCCTTGACCTTAGGCTTCAGCTCTGCCTCTTGCTCCTGGCCCACTGAAGCTAGAGGCTTTCTTCATTCAGGCAGCTGCTGGCTGCTGAGGCTGACACACACAAGGTTGACAGGTAAAAAGGCATGGTCCCAATATTAACAAACCACATGGCAGACCACAGATTCAAGTCCATTAAGAGTCCCAAGATCAGCTGACAACATGGCAGGCTGCTGAATAATAACTTGGCTACATGTAGGATTGAAGCATGCCAAAAACTGCAGACCATTCCTAAAGTTTCTCCTTATATACTGCAAGCAGACGACATCCCTAAAGCAGCTACTCAGCTGCTCACAGTAGATTCCACCTTGGAGTTGATTACCAGTCTCATCATGGGAAACAGCTATATCCAGCTGCCCAACCATTCAAAACCAGGTCCAGCCAAGTTGACACATAACCTGAACTACCACAGAGCTGCTGAAGGGTTGGAACCACAAACCTTTCAATTAGCAGCCAAAGCTTCAAAGAGCTTTGCCACTGTGTCACTCCTTGACATTCTGAATAGAAAGATGAATTTTAATAGGTAAGATCTCAAACTTGGGTTGCAAAAATACGCATGTGAAGTTGTTATAAGGATTTAAAGATTGCAACTGATGAAAAATAAACTCAGTATAAACAGTAGTAGGGTAGTTGCTTCCTACAAGCTCATAAAACCTTAGATTGGAAGAGGAGCAGAAGCAGGGAGGAGTTAAGAATTCTGCTCTGTAGACCAAGCTGCACGAGGAAGGTTGTATTTGTCTTACTTCAAGTAGAATATGGAGAGTTCAGACTGAGCAGCTCATGGAGGGATTTGAAAACATGTCCATTCTTACTCCTTAAACATTTGCTATCCTAAATCCTTTATTCACATTCTCTGCCCTCTCTCGGAGAGCTCATCCATGGTTTTCTTTAAAGCTTCATCTCTTGTCCAGATCAGTGCCCTGAGCTGCAGACTTATATATGCATTCACCTACTAGACATTTTATGAATGCTCTGCACACTCCTTAATCTCCATGTGGCAGAAATGGAACTTACCTTTTCTACCCTTGTACTTGACTCACTGTTCTGGTTACCTAGTGCTGCTCTGACAAGAATATACCACAAATGGGATGGCTTTAACAAACAGGAGTTTATTCTTACAGTTTTGGAGGCTTTAAGTCTGAGTTCAACGTGCCAGGCTCTAGGGTCTGGGTGAAAGCCCCTCAGCCTTGGGCTTCAGCTCTGCCTCTTGCTTCCCGCCCACTGAAGCTAGAGGCATCTCTTCACTCAGACAGCTACTGGCTGCTGAGGCTAACAAGCCCAACATTGATAAATAAAATGTCACAGTCCCGATGTTACCAAACAACACAGGAGGTCATTGATTCAAGT